GTACATGATACCAACTACACTTACTATAAATGGTCGATATGGGCAGGGGCAGAGGTCGAAAGTGTTAACTTTTAGCGGTGGAAGCATGGTAGAAGCAGTTTATTGCAATTTACAATGGAACTATCAATTCAATCGAATAACTTCATAAGATATGTTGTAGGTACTTGATATTTTTTTGTAAAGAGCATGCTTTGAAAGTGATTTACCTGAGAAGCAGTGGTAACTGCATTAGCAAAAGTGTCATCCTGATCCTCTTCTTTTTCCTTTGGCCACGAGTGTAACTTACGGCAAACGCATTGTGGTTGGCTAAAAACAAGGAATTTCAGGATTACCTTTCTATTTATTCCATATTCCTCACTATTAGTCCTTTAATCGTAACCCTTATCCCCAACAGTCCGGCAAGGGACTCTTAACTTCTCTGGGGTAGCGGGTGTCCATTAGCGACAATGACTACTTACCTACTTTTAAATCGCTTGCTGTCCCTTAACATAAAAAAATTAGTGGCTGTGAAATCACCATTACTTTATAGAGCATATTGGTACAATCGCGGCATGGAAACTTTTGTATAAAATAAACAATCATTACAGAGTTGCATAAAAACCTGTTAATGGCAAGATCGGCAAGTGGTCATTGATCTCATATTAGTGTAAGCAAAAGTACCAACTATTAACTTCAAGACATGAAGAGCATAATAATATAGGTACAGCTCTTCAGCGAGCCCGAGCGCGAATGCTCGGTGACGAGCGCACACGTAAATGTGCTTAAGGGTTACTAGATAAAAACCTGGACTTAATTTCTGAAATGATGACGCTGATGAAAATAGATGCCAAATCGCGCACGGCTTTGCGTAGAAGGGAATCGCTTCTATGTCGCCAGCGGTGAGACGCGCATATCTTGACCGACAAACACGGTCGTGGACACGACTGTATTTGTGTCGGAGGCGAACACAGCTCTACTCACGATATCCCGCCATCTCTGTTTGTCGACTGTCTGAAAGTTGTTAGGTCTGTTCTGTGGGATATCACCTCTTGATCCGGTTATCCTCTATTCGTCCCGACCAAACGTTCTTTAGAATCATGCCTGTTAATCTACGTTTTTGTTTATTTTTTTTCATCTTAATCCTCAGCTTGGGCAACCCTAAGCGTAGTGTGACGGCGGCCGGCGACCCGCGCCCTCTGTGATAACCTCAGCTCTTGTTGTTTGTGTGAGCGCCGCTGCCAGTGTCCGTGTTCATTGATAATAATACTCTTTATTTAATTAACTGGGAGATAACAAATATTCTTAATAATTTTAATCTTGGATTCTCATTGAATGAATGAGACGAGGCGCAGCTAGCTGGCGGCACTTGCTATCTCATTCATTCCCATTGCATAGTGTCGAAATTGCACTTGCACCCGCTTACATAAACAGCGTTATGTCGAAGTCTACCGAATCGTCTGTGAATGATCTGAATCACAGTATCGGTTTATGTTCTGCATTCACAGAAGATACGTGCACTAGTTTCCAGGGCATTGCAATATCGAGGCATCTCCGAAGGTCATTGCATGTCCTCTGCGTCAGTGACCCAACGACCTAAGTACCTACTTGAATTTTGTAACTATTTTGAAGGTGTAGGTACTATTAAAGATAACTGATATAGTCAGGTATCTTGCTATACATATATCTGACTCCAGCTAGGCCACTCATTGACTCATATGCTATTTCCCTAAAGGTCGAGTACAGAAACGATAAAAGCTATAAAATTATAAGTTCATAATTAACCGATGTTTGAAATGCACCTGATATTGAGATATCGTGTTTTTATATCTCAAGTATAATAAGCATATATATTAAACTACGTAAAGCAAGCAACCGGCTAACCCCTAGGGGCAAAGGATGTCTACAAAGATCTTCATCTAGGTTGATCTTGAGCGTCGCATTTTATCTCGCTCCTCGTCACCCCGGAGCTCGCCGCGTCTGCGAGTCTACCACTACTGGTGCTTGGTCATTCATAATTAGCCAAAAATCATTCAACTAAATTTTCAAAACGCCCCCCTCCCCCTTTTAAATTAGTTGCCTCATTTATTTTGCACGGTATTAACATATACACTCAATAGCAACTCTCACGCGGTTTCACCCGCTGCTCGGCTCCTTTTACTCGTAGCGTGATTGATGTTTTATAGCCTATAGCACTCAGGAACATTGTAGCTATCTAACAGTGAAAGAATTTTGGAAATCCGGCCAGTGGTTCCAAAGATTATCCCCTACATACAAACTTACAAACATACAAATTTTACCTCTTTATAATATTAGTATAGATGTACATTGGAAAAACCACATAGAAATAGTTAAATCTAAATTCACCTACGCCTTGTTCCAACTTAAGTACAGCACAAATACAGAAACAGCATTATCAGCATACTACACGTACGCTAACTCGTTTCTAAGGTATGGAGTGGTGTATGGTTATGTTCCGTGGTAGGTAAACTTGGAACCCTTATAGTTTCGCCATGTGTGTTTGTCTGCCTGTAGTTTTTGTTTCTATAATAAACATACAGACAGTCAAATAAAAATTTTACAATTGGCGTTTTTAGTAGTTATTTTGAAAATACATAGTCTGGCCATAAATACTGTTACAATTAAAAATAAACAAAATATTACATTTCAATTTGGAATCTGTCATTTTTATATAATTTTTCATTGTGTTTTCTTATTTTGGCGCCAATAAATTGTTCAATATTTTGCGATATTAAAATGGAGTGGGGTGATAAAGAGAACCGAATCGCTGTGATTGCATTACACAAAGTGGGTATGGAGCCAAATGCAATTTTTCTCCACACGCTTGGCATTAGTCAAATGTTTGTGTACCGGTCTATTAATAGGTACAATGAGACCTCCTCTGTTTGTGACTGAAAAAGATCTGGCCGTCGACGTAGTGTTCGTACGAAAAAGGTGGTCAAAGCAGTAAGGGAAGGAATTCGAAGAAATCCTGTCCGAAAGCAAAAGATTTTATCTCGGGAGATGAAGATAGCACCTAGAACCATGTTGCGTATTTTAAAAGACGACTTAGGACTTGCAGCCTATAAGAGGCGCACTGGACATTTTTAAATGATAATTTAAAAAAGAATAAGGTGATAAAATCTAAACAACTACTGAAGCGGTACGCAAAGGGAGGTCTCAGAAAAATTTTGTTTACGGATGAGAAAATTTTTACAATTGAGCTACATATTACCAAACAAAATGCCCGTATTTATGGTCAAAGCTCTAAGGAAGCTTCTTAATTAGTCGACAGAGTGCAACGTGGGCATTATCCGACTTCAGTGATGGTTTCGTGGGGTGTTAGCTATGAAGGAGTACTGAGCCATACTTTTGCGAAAAAGGTATCAAAACATCGGCACAAGTGTATCAAAATACCATTCTTGAGAAGGTATTTAAGCCCCTTAATAACACCATGTTCAATAACCAACAATGGTCCTTCCGGATGCTACTCGGCGCCGGGTCATAAAGCTCGGTCCACGCAGTCTTGGTTGGAAACGAACGTTTCCGACTTCATCAGAGCTGAAGACTGGCCGTCGTCTAGTCCCGATCTTAATCCGCTGGATTATGATTTATGGTCAGTTTTAAAGAGCAGGGCTTGCTTTAATCGTCATGATAATTTGGTCTCTCTAAAACAATCCATACGATTGGCAGTGAAGAATTTTCCCATGGAAAGAGTGCGTGCTTCTATTGATAACTGGCCTCCACGTTTAAAAGACTGTATTGCAGCCAATGGAGACCACATCGAATAAGCTTTTTATGTTTTAAATTGTTTTATATTTATGTATTGAAACAATGAAACAATAATGAAACAATGATTTTATTTTTGCAAATAGGCCATAAAACGGCACTTTTACACGTCAATTTATATGTAAAAACTAGATGAAGCCGGCATTTCCTATCTGACTACTCTGAGAAGAAATGCCGAAACAAACTCAGAGGTCAGTCTCTTTTCAAGTCCAGACAATGTAAAAATAACATAATGTGAGAGAACCGTGCAAGTTGATTCTGTAGTGGTCTTTTGATGAAAGAACCACACCAGTTTAAGTGGACCCGTTCTGAAGACAGGCACGCAAGTGTCAGTTTGCAACCAGCATAGCAAGTGCTGCTGAGTTGTCCGACGAACAATACCGATCTAAAGAACATTTGGTTGGGTCGCGCAAGTACTCAAACTGTCAGAACGCAGTTAACTGGTAGTCCAAAAGCGCGGCAAGTCTCACACGGTCCTTACACTAACAAAATAATAATAATGTCAATAAATAATTATAAAAATAATAAATAAAATAAAAAATGTCAAATAAAAATAAAAATGTCACAATAGGTGATAATGTCATTGTTAATAAAAAAAATAATAAATCCGCAAGGCAGCTTGTGGCGAGCTGTTGGGCAGTGGCGACCCCACGGACCTGACTCCCGGGAGGTGTCTTGTTCTTCTCTCTCCGGTTAGTCCTCGTGACGAGCTGGAGTGAACACTGATGAAGAACAAGCCCTCCTACCTCATTCTTGCCTTAATTGGCTGGCTTGAGTGGAGATTCGCAAGAGTAGGAGTTGAAGGAGACTCGGGGGAAGGATGTATCCCAGTAAGGTGCTGGTAGGGGTCTTGACCGTACTTCCGTCCTTGGGTGCACTTATATAGTGCATACAGGGATAATTGCCGGCTGATGTCCCATCACATTTAGATTAAAATTGTTCAGCGGGCCTCTGCGAGTTGGCTTCGGCTCCTCGTATGCCTTCCAAAGGTCCGGGACCCTGAGGTCCCGTGAAAGGAAAGAAAAAATAATAATAATAAACGTAATGTCAAATTGTATATAAAAAGCGTAACTTATGTTACAAACATGTCAACATGACCTGTGCAGAAGTTACAGCGGCTCATTCCCAAGCCTGACTATCTTCTAAAAACTTACATATACTTCTATTAAACTTACATACTGTAAAAGTAATAAATGTTATTTGCAATAGAATTTTTTTTATTTGTTACAGTATTTATGGCTAGACTAGGTAAATTGAATTTAGAGAATTGACCTCACAACAGATTTATTATGAGTATAGATAACAATGCTTGGAGGCTAGCTGGTGCACAGGATGAAAATTGTTAATGTTAAGGGGAATTTGATCTCAATTATTATGTGCTGATGCTGCTACCATGCTGTTATTTGCTGATGAAGTGGTCCTGTCGTATGGCTTGTCATGTGTGTGTGTATGTGTGCAGAGACGAGCACGGCGGGCAGTGCGTGCTCGGCGCGGCAGTTCGCGTGCGCGGACGGGCTGCGCTGCGTGCCGCTGGCGTGGCGCTGCGACGGCCGCGCTCACTGCGCCGACGGCTCCGACGAGCTGCACTGCGCCGCCTCCACGCGTGCGTCACACCTCGCTCTGTCCAGTGTCCTGACATACCGCACTCCATCCATGGCGCTTCGTTTGCTTCCCAACCTCCGAACGATACCTACATAAAAATAACTGTTTATGAAGGCGACGACGGGAGAGCGGTTGACGAATACAACGTGTGTGTCACTATAATAAGTCCGATCAGCCATTTTGTGGGGGACGAACAGCCAAACGCAGCGCCACGGACCGTAGCGTATCTGAGTATAAGTATATGATGCCTCAGGCCACATTATGGGAATGACTTGAGTACAGTTCAACATTAAAAAGTTAAACAAGTTATTTTATCAAGTAGTTAACTGCTGGGTACTGCTGGTGGTGTCTCCCCGTGGTGCGAAAATATTGTGGCGCCCACTTCATTCAGGGAAACTATATATTGTTAGTTCTTCCTGGTCCCAAGTAAACTTATATTGTTAGGAATTTAATATTTCCTTTAGCATTACTAGAACAAACGAGCAAATTGTAAAAGTAAAGAGCAGAGGATAACACCGAAAAAAGAAAGTTCTACTCGAGGGTTACGATATGGTTAGAGTGGCTCCTCGGTAGGGCTGGCACAAGACTTCCTCTCCCTCAACTTGTAAGACGTGTGTGTGTGTGTGTGTGCAGCGCGGGGTGCGACGTGTCGCGGCGACGAGTTCCGCTGCGCCGCCAGCAACCTGTGCCTGGCGCCGAGCTGGCGCTGCGACGGGGAGCCCGACTGCGGCGCGCACGACGCCTCCGACGAGGACCCCTACATGTGTACGTACGGCGGCACCGCGCCTCGCCGCGCCGCTCCACCGCTTGTTGCTCAAGTGTCGCACGTTTGCGGTGTCGCAGGTCAGAAAGACTTCAAGTGTCCCGGCAACAGCGCGCGCTGCGAGACGCCGGTGGACGGCCAGTTCACGTGCGTCCCCATCGAGCAGTTCTGTGACGGCGAGCGCCATTGCCCCGACGCCAGCGACGAGTGGGACATCTGCGACAACTGTACGTAGCCTGCGCCATACTCTGTCAAAGTGGAAGTGCTTTAAAACCAATAACAATGTAAAAAGTCCTAATCTATCGATCCCAACCGAGGCAAAGTAGTTATTAGGGTCGAAAGACACCAAACTGAGGCCCAATCCTTCCCCTTCCCCAATCCCTCCTCAATCCCTATATCTCCAAATCCCTAATCCCTGAAAGGTCGGCAACGCACTCGTAACTCCACCGTTGCGAGTGTCCATGGGCGGCGCTGATTGCTTACCATCAGGTAATCCGTCTGCTCGTTTGCCGACCTATTACATAAAAAAAAACTGGTTTTTCGCTATTTATCAAAATATTTTAAATATGTACATCAGGTATTACTTTTATACATCGATCACTAATAAAGAACTAGATACACAATCAGTGGCAAAAAAATGTCCCAACTGAAAGTCCACCAAACTCAACATCGCGGTGTAGTTTTAGTTTAGTACCACTCGAATGCTCCGACGGTAAACACGCCTCAGTGCTCGTTAAAAAACTGCAAAAACACACACACATAAGATGCAAAAAAGGATGGAATTTCATATTTTCGTTAAGTAATAATATTATCGTTATATAATTGTCATCATGCTATTTTAAATATTGATATTTTATTAAGAAATCAACTTTAAAACTTTTTCCAAATGAAATCGTATTCAAAAACCGGGGTTATAATGCACACAGTTTATAAAGACACTTATACTAAACTTAAAATCATTCTCTAGCCTGACCACTTAAGTTGTTCGGTTTACGTGGATTGATTCTGTTCCGTTTAGTGGAGACGCTATTGTTTCTAATTTTATTTATTGTTTTTTTTATTAAAAAATAGTTTTTATTTAATATTATACTTCTTTACTGTGTTTATTAAAATATGGAATAGGCAGATGTAATGGATTTAATTTTAACTGCAGTAAAGAAATTTTTTTTTTAGCTTTCATCAAGACCCGTTCGATATGAAAAATTGACAACAATAACGCCAACATTTTCAGTACTTACTTTAGATATATATTCTTTTTATTATTTTACATCTTTTTTATTTGACTTCGAATAGAAAGGATTAAGGAGGACGAAAATAAAAAAAAAAAGAATTATAACTATATGCATTAGTTTCATTGGTAAATAAATGAACAAACCTATAGAAAAGAATACTATAAGTAATGCGTTTTAATTTGAGTATTTTCTTTTTTTGATAAATTATAAAATACGAAAGAAATATATTTCTTACGAGACATTTCGACTCCAATAATTCTTTGTCCTAGCGGTGCGCCGAAGTCGTTAAATTTTATTGCTTATTTTTGACACTTTGTAAATTCGACTTAAAAACATGCGAATATGGTTCAATTTCTTATGATTTGTGTTTGTCAAGAGCTTCGGTCGCAAAAAGTATTAAGATTTTGTACATCACTTTGTAAAAACAACTCTTTGAGTTGCATTTAAGGTTTAATTTACATTAATGCATTTTTATTTCAAGTATAAGTCCTAAATACAGTTGGCGACAGTTTTGAAGCGAACTTTTGTATGGGATTGTGTATCTAGTTCTTTATTAGTGATCGATGCTTTTATACCATAATTATTATTTGTTTAACAATTACAAAAATGTTGTATAGTTTTCCTCGTTAGCGCTATCGTGCAAGACACTGGCAAAACGATGACGACTCAATCAGTTGAATGAGTTGCAATCCTCACACGCGTATGATGCACACGCGCCCGCGCCATCATCATCAGTGTCAACTACTAATCATAGGGACACCCTAGCTACAGCAGGACAAGGAATCGGGGTTTAGTCAGTAAGAGACTGATATTCCCTCCCAATATTGTGACAAAATTTGAAAGATTCGGTTTGCAAAAAGAAATTTTTTTGGGACTGTTATTGGAGTCCCAGTAACGTGGGTTGTGTGCGCAGTCACGGCGGCGCAGTGCGCGGCGCTGCGCTGCGAGCTGGGCTGCCGGCCCACGCACGCCGGCCTCGCCTGCTACTGCCGCGCCGGCTACGAGGCGGACGCCGGCGGCCGCTGCGTCGGTGAGTACAGCGCCCCCCGCGCCCCCCGCCCCCCGCGGCCGGCGCCACACTGCCGCTCCGCTCGTGTTGCAGACGCGGACGAGTGCTCGCGCGAGGACGCATGCGCGCAGCGCTGCCACAACACGGTCGGCTCGTACGCCTGCAGCTGCGCGGCCGGGTACCGGCTGCACGGCGACGGGCGCGGCTGCGAGCCCATCAACGGTGAGTGCCGCGGCCGGCGCGCCCGCCCCCAGCGCGCCGCCGCTCACGCAGTCTGTGTGCAGAGCCGGAGGGCGAGCCGCTGTCGCTGGTGGTGGTGACGGCGGGCGACGTGCGGCGCGTGTGGCCGGCGGACGACGCGCCGCCGGGGACCCGCTCGCGGCTGCCCGCGCTCAGCGTGCGCGCCATCGACATCCTCTACTCCAACCGGTACGTGCCAGCTGCCCGCTCTCACTCATATTTAGTCTTCGTCACCTATAGTAACTCAAAGCAGGCACCACGGTTTGCACGGCCCCAAGTAGTGAGCTAGTATCGTGTCGTCGGGCCGGGCAGAGCGTGTATGAGTGAGGCACCGCGTGTACAGGAGCATCTGCTACGTGCACCACAACCTGAGCGCGGCCGACATCGTGTGCGCGGACGCGGACGACCTGAGCCGGCGCCGCGTGCTGGGCCGGCCCGCGCTGTTCCCCGACGTGGCCGGCGTCAGCCACCTGGCCGTGGACTGGGTGGCCGGCAACTGGTACCTGGTGGACGGCGGCCGCGAGGCGCTGTATGCGTGCTCGCGCGACCTGCGCTACTGCCGCCTGCTGGTGGAGGGCGCGCTGGCCAAGGTGCACGGCTTCGCGCTGGATCCCGCCGTCGGCCTCATGTTCTGGACGGTGTGGGGCGCTGCGCCCCCGGCCGTGGAGAGCGCCAGCCTCGCAGGCGAGGGCCGCGCCCCCGTGGCCACGCTGAAGCTGGTGTACCCGTCGGCGCTGACGCTGGAGCCGGCGGCGCGCGCGCTGTACTGGGTGGACGCCTACCTGGACTGCGTGGAGCGCGCCGACTACAGCGGGGCCAACCGCCGCACGCTGCGCCGCGGATACGCTGTGAGTGCCGACCGAACAATGATACTAACACTCCCACTACATCCATTTTATTTTATTATTGTGTTGTTTAAAGCTTGCTTCTAGCAGCGGCTTTGCCCGCGCATCCAGGCTACAAAGTATTGTACATGAAAGAGTAGCAAACATCCATAACAAGCGCTCTCCTGGGAGATTGATATAGCGAAGCATAATATAAAGATAGCGAAAAGTTTCCCTCGACCTTGATAGATGGCATTGGCATCGAAATAGTTGTCGCTGCGGTTGCCTTACATCAATTTAGTGAGGGTCCGGCCGTGTGCGTGTTGCTATACAACGACTTGTACCTAACAACTGCACTGACACACACATACACGCTGGAAGCGAACTACATGTATACGTGTCGATATATAACACACCAATTTGTCTTTTTGCACAACGTTTTGTTTTTCTTAACTCATGTTGGCCCGTACGGATACATAATGTATACCTATGGTTCCCTACAGACTCTGGTCTTGAATCAAACGAGAGTCACTTTTGAGTTTATAAATGGTAATCAAAATGATTGGAATGTAGTTGTTTACATGGACAACTCCTCCTGTAGGTATGGGCAGTGGGTAGCGGTTTATTAAAACGAGCGTGTGTTATCATTATTTTAGCAAAATGGTAAATATATCTATCTATTATTGTAGGTAAACCATGTTTCTAATTATCTTAATAATCGTGCTTAGCTTACGTTTGAACTCAAGAATATACATATATATTAATATTAAAAAAACCAATGATGCTCCAAACTTGATAAAACACACGAATTTCACAAAAATCGTGTTCGGTAATAACCTGAACTTCACAGCGCGGACTGCGTGATGTGAATACACTGGATAGGTACTGTACTAGATGTTTATTGCACACAGCAAGCACACCTACAGCTTACCTCGACTATCGCCTGACAAACTTAACACCGCGATTTACAAATGATAGTTAGATGTGAAACGCCATCTAACTGTCACTCAGTTAGCTACTTGTTTTGTTAACACACAACGACACCTGATATAGAAACTAATCCACTATTTAGTTTTGCTGCGCACAGAACCTAAGATCTGAATTGGGGTTCCGTTGACCAAAAGAACTGCTTAAACAACTATTTTTGATCAAAACCTTGTACTGTTACTGTACATTTTCATTGTTTTCTTCGAACGCGGGCTTTGGATGAAGAGTTTAAGAGCAGCATGCGCGTTTGTAGTGGATGTGACTGTGCGCACTGATCCCAAGCAATCTAGTATAATGTGTAGTCTGTGGAGAGTAACAAAGCGGTGCGCAGAGCCAGGAGCTGGTGGCGATCGCGGCGCTGGGCGGCGCGCTGTACCTGCCCGTCTGGCGCAACTCCAGCCTGCTGGCGGGCGCGCGCAGCGTGGCGCTGGACGCGCGCCCCACGGCCGCGCTGGCCTTCCACCGCGCGCGCCAGCCGCGCAGCGCGCATCCCTGCGCCGCGCACAACGGCGGCTGCGCGCAGCTGTGCTTCCCGGCGTACGAGGGCGGCACCGCGCGCGCGCGCTGCGCCTGCCGCCACGGCTGGCGCCTGGCCGGCCGCGGCGCCTGCGACCGTGTCCACGAGGACGCCTTCCTGCTGCTGGCGCGCGGCGCGCCCCCGCTGGTGCAGGCGCTGGCGCTGCGCCCCCGCGGCTGGGAGGCGGCGGCGCCGGCCACGGACGCGGCGCGCCCCACGGCGGCGGACGCGGACACGCGCGACCACTACCTCTACTACTGCGACGTGCACCGCTACGAGATCGTGCGCCAGCGCCTGGACGGCAGCGGCCGCGAGGTGTTCGCCGGCAGCGACGTCGACAACTGCGAGGGGCTGGCCGTCGACTGGATGGGTGAGCGAGCCCGGCACCTTGCTATACACACTGCCCGCTGTTGCCGCGGCCACAGACTATAGAACAAGGCAGATGGACCGTACGGAACAATAATGTGTGAATTAAAACACGTTTTCTCGGTGTGCGTTGCGGTTGTCAGATAATTACAAAATTACCCACAATTGTCATTGTCTACCTATCGATATATTAGATACTGGTTTTACAGCTATTTATAGGTACATTTTTGTGAATAATGTTTATAAGTTTAAGTTTTTAGTTTACAATAATGAAGTTTAAATATAGGTAATTAGCAATCGTTATTTTGTACTAATATCTTCTAATATTGCAAACCAAGCAATCCCACGGACGTAAAATTTGTAGCATGTCAAAAAGTACATAGAAATATTCCAATGAAAGAGTAAGACAAAAAATCATTATCATCGATAATCCTTGTTTCTCATACATATTCCCCAAGTTAAGGGTGAAGTATTACAAAGTAAACTAACAACACCGACCAATGTTTGTGAAAAATAATTACGTAAAATATAAATATTATCTATGATATACTAACGACGCTTCGTGACGTACAGACTCGAGTTTGTATTCGCTTTTGAATTTGTATTTGCTTTGGTGGCTTCGCATTCGTGTTCTGCACGATCTGCCTTTGTCGTTGTATAATCTGTGGCCGCGGCATGGACCTACTAAATGCTTGGAATGCCTCACGGATTTTCTTACACACATTGAGTTATTCATTAAAACATTTTAATTTGTATGAAACATTCCATAATTTTAAAGTAAGCTAAAAAATGCTTTTTGTTGGTCGGTCCGCTATGACTGTATTGGTGTGGGGCAGGTCGCAACCTGTACTGGACGGACGCCGCGCTGGGCACGGTGAGCGCGGCGCGGCTGGACGCGCCGGGCGTGCGCCGCGTGCTGGTGCGCGACGCCGACTACCTGCACTACCACCCGCGCGCCATCACGCTGCACCCCGCCAACGGGTACGTGTACCGCCACCGGGGGGCGCGGGGCGCGGGGCGCGGGGCGCGGCGTGCTCACGGGCTTGTGTTGCAGCACCATGTTCTGGTCGGCGTGGGGGGGCGCGGGGGCGGGGGCGGGGGCGGGGGCGGGCGCGGCGCGGCTGGAGGCGGCGCACATGGACGGGGGCGCGCGCCGCACGCTGCTGGCCGACGACCTGCACTGGCCCTCCGGCCTGGCGCTGTCCGACGACGGCTACCTGTACTGGTGAGTGTCCGGCCCGGCGGCGGCTGCGCCCGCGGGACATGCTGCTGTATGCTGTGTGCTGTGTGCAGGTGCGACACGTACCTCAACCGGGTGGAGCGCCTGGAGCTGCGCTCGGGCCGGCGCCAGCTGGTCACCTCCGACGCCGTCAAACCCTACGGCCTGGCGCTGTACGAGGGTCAGTATTCCGCTAATGTTTCCCTCCTCTCAATGCAGCGAAGCATTTACATCTTGTATGGACCCGGGCGTATTGTGTAACTTGCACTAGTTACGTGAGGTGCTTAGCGTGAGTATCGTTACATTCAACGAAACTCAAAATTTACAATATTAATTAAATCGACTCGCGAAAGTAGGTCGCGCGACGTTAACAAAATAAACGCATGTACGGAAACCGTACAGATCTAATTTTATTTAATATAAAATGAAGCAAGCAGCAAGGACCATTGAAGCATTTGAGGCTCTCAGCAAGTTAATTAGTAACTGGAGTTAGTTACTTTTAATTTATTTAAGTATTGATAAAGACAAGAAGTAGCGAGGTATAGGTGAGTGTGGTCGCAGGCGCCGTGATCTGGAGCGAGCACGGCACGGGCGCGGTGCGGCGCCGCGACGCGGACGGCAACGTGACGCAGCTGTACCGGCTGGCGCCGCCGCTGTACGGGCTGCGCCTGGTGGCCGGCACGGCGCGCTCCGGCCGCAACGCCTGCGCGCGCGGCGGGGGCTGCGCCGACCTGTGCCTGGCCACGCCCACCGGCCGCACCTGCGCCTGCGCCGACGGCCGCGAGCCCGCCCCGCTCGCCCCGCACACGTGCCGCGCGGCGCGCGCGCCCCCCGCCCCGCCCGCCTGCCCGCCCAACACCTTCGCCTGCCGGAATGGGTCAGTATTCTAAATATCATGTACTCGCACCAACGTACAAAACAAGGTCGCTTTCTCTGTCCCTATATCCCTATGTATGTGTTTTTATAATATACGTAAGTCGAGAGATGAGTAGGTGATGTATGTGTGTGGTTGCAGGCGCTGCATCGAGGAGCAGTACGTGTGTGACGGGGACCTGGACTGTTCGGACGGGTCCGACGAGGACGCGTCGGTCAGCGGACCTTGCGGTGAGTGCTTGCCGCGGCCCCCGGCGCGGCGGCCGCGGCAAGCACTGACCGCGCTCTGTGTGCAGCCAACGTGACGTGCGCCGGCGACCAGTTCCTGCGCTGCGACTCCAACCGCTGCATCCCCGACGCGTGGGTCTGCGACGGACAGAAAGGTAAGTGCGGGCGGGCGCGGCCCGACGAGCCGGCCCCGCGACTGACGAGAGCTCGGCGCAGACTGCACGGACGGCGCGGACGAGGGCGCGGCGGCGTGCGGGCGGCGCGCCTGCCGGCCCGGCCAGTTCCAGTGCGGCCGCTCGCGGCGCTGCATCCCGCTGTGGTGGCGCTGCGACGGCGCGCCCGACTGCGGCGCCGGCGACGCCAGCGACGAGCAGGCCTGCGCCGCGCAGCCCTGCGGCGCCGCCATGTTCCCCTGCGACAACGGCGCCTGCCTGCCCTGGGACTACTACTGCGACGGCCACGCCGACTGCGCCGACGCCAGCGACGAGCGCGCCTGCGCTGACGTCACCACGCCGCCGCCGCAACACGAGTCAGTGCACACTCGCCTTATTACTTATATAGTTGCATGAAACTTGCTATGATGATTACTTGACACTCATGGGGTAAACATTTCCATCACATGCAACATAATATGTTTACCCGCACTACTGTTTGTTTCCTATTCGTCACTAATGTTTTATTTGTTCTCATTTCCTCATGTTCTGTTTCACATGAAAAGCGATATTTTTTTAAAGTTTAAATATTTAATGAAAACCATTATTTATTTTAATGAACATAATATCATGTCTTAGATTTAGTAATTTACGAATAAAAATGACTAAATCTAATTAAAGTTGTCTAAGACTAATTAAAGTTGTCTAAGAACCAGCGTATATTTTGTTTCTGTGTTAAATTTATACAGTATGTATATTTGAACAAGGGACTTATTCAAACCCCCAATAGTTTATGCATAGACTTCACCAATAAACATATAAACAATAAAAAACCCTGATTAATGACGAACAAAACCGATCCAAAAAAGTTGTAAAAATTTCGCAACGTTTCGACACCCTAGCGCTTATCGCAGAACATATGCTCGATCAATGACCGACGCCGACGTAGGTATAAATGCATTTTTCTTTTATACTTTAAATCTGCCTTAGGACAGACAAAAATATCTAGGTACATCAAATAATAAACATTCTGCAATTCAAATTTTCATAAGACGTGATGTGCCATCGTATTATTGGCGTATTTAATAAATTAATGTTTTGGTACTCACGTACGCGCGCACGTGATATACCGCGGGCGCTCCGTCAGGTTAGTAGTACAAGTTCCGGTAGATATTTAAAGGCACTTCTTCCAGATTCTCACTCACTACATTATTTTAAAATAAATAAATACTGTCAAGTCGTCCATCATAAAATAAGGGCCTATTAAATTGTTATTTTAAATGCCTGCCCACACATTTACACTAAAGCGATGTTGATAAGCGTCCTGTCGCGTTACATAGGGATTTTGGTGACTCCACTAATGCTCATTATGTACATTAAAAACCCCCATTCTTGTGAAAGTGTCTCGTCGGTCTAATTTAGACAAAAACATTTCATTCACTCATAGTATTCATCGTTGTGCAGCAGCTTCCACAGTCATGTATGATACACCAAAACGCCTTGCAGCATTTCGAGTACTTTCTTGTGGGTTTTCTTCGAAGTACTCGAGGATGGCATGTTGTAGGTCTACTGGGTATGATGCTGCTCCTCTTCCTTGAGCATGCGTCGGCACGGTAAACTGATCATACGTTTGTAGCCGCTGTTTGACACCTAGCATCAATCTGTATGATGGTATCTGTTTGTTGTGGTACATTTCTCTTTACACATTAATGTCAGCTAGCATACGATTATTTGGTAGCGCGTAGGCACGGACCATATCCTAATATTGTTCATTTGAATACTGGGATGACATTATTACACTTCACAATCTACCTAACACTAGAAAATTCATTTTACGTAAATTTGGTAAATGGGGATGTTTACACAATGCGAAAGCGGCGGCGGCGCGTTCGCATAGACTGGCGGTCAGCGGAGCGGGGGCGCGGGCAGGGTGCGTGCGAGCCGGTGCGAGCCGGTACCTACATGTTCGGCACAGTCAGCGACATAACAAAAGAAAGGGGCGGGGCTTGCACACTCGCTTCCTTAGTGACAGGAGCGGCACGTGTTTGGCGCGTAATTATGTAGGCATTTTACTATCTTCGAGTTCGCTTTGCGCTCTGTGTTCATGAACATTATTTTACTGACCACCCTCTTTCAATAAGTCTGTCGTTCAAATTTACAAATTGTATAAACTAGTGCTTGACTGTGTTTTTTTTAATAAACCTAAATAAAACACAATAATCGTTACAAATAATCAAAGCCGTGTCTTATTGCAGTAAAAATGTGGAAGTAAGCGCGTGCGAGGAGCACGAGTTCCAGTGCAACAACACCGAGTGCATCAGGAAGGTGAGTGCCGTAGTCCCGCGGCCCGCGGCTTGCGCCCCGCCGGCTGACCGCAGTGTTCGCCGCAGGAGTTCCGGTGCGACGCGCACGTGGACTGCCTGGACGGGTCCGACGAGGCGCAGTGCGGCGAGCGCGGGCCCAGCAGCGCGCGGCCGGCCGCGGCCAGTACGGCGGCGCCGGCGGCTGCGTGCCCGGCGCCGGCGCTGCGCTGCGACGGAGGGTCGCGCTGCGTGCCGCTGGCGCAGCAGTGCGACGGCGCGGCGGACTGCGCGGACGGCGCGGACGAGGCGGACCGGTGCGGCGAGCCCATGTGCGCGCTGGCGGCGTGCTCCCACTCGTGCCACGCGGCGCCGGGCGGGCCGCAGTGCGGCTGCCCCGCGGGGCTGGCGCTGGCCGCCGACGGCGCCACGTGCGAGCCGCGCGCGCCCTGCGCTCACTGGGGCGTCTGCGCGCAGGGCTGCGTGCCCACCAAGGCGGCCCACAAGTGCACCTGCGACGCCGGGTACCGCCTCGCCGACGACGGCTTCAGCTGCAAGAGCACGGGTGAGGAAGAGCTGAAATAAACTACAATTGTTAATAATTACAAGTGTTACAAGAAATCCATGTTCTAAAAAATTCAAGTTATAATTTCGCGACATAAATCCAGCTTTGTTGCAGGATGTAATCCCACCCTATACAGTCATATATGACCACATTCTTACGTTATGGTCATGTTATGCTCATAATTCGATCAACATCTATATAAAGTGACCAATTTTATAGTGTAGTGATAAATTCTTACGTAGTATAGTTAACTCCATTGTTATATTGGTCTCTGGTCTCCACAAATACATAATATTTTAATTGAGTATTTATTTCACTTTAAACAATACCTTGTGCGCCTGCAAGCCGAGCGTTTCTTTCAATGGCCGGTCCGTCAACGATCGGTATCCTAATTACTAAATACTTTACATTTAGATGTTGATAAAGGTCCATGTGGTATTCATGGTATTTTGGTAAATTATCGAGTCTGCAACCAAATTAAGACTGTCTTTTGACATGTTCGTGTCATTGATGTTTTATTTAAGTATGGCTCCATCGACGGTAAACAGTATCATACAGGATTCCATTATTTTCTAACATCGTACATTAATATTCGTTGAAAAATTACATCATGGCCGTCTCTGAAGTCAACGACCGACTTATACGTACTAAGGGTGACAAAAATGCATGGAGAGCTTAAGGTCGACTATTGACTGACAGGTTTTGCATAACGCTACCATTGATAACTAGATGGCGCTGCTTTTAAATGAAAATAACCCTGCAAAGCTTGAATACTTTACACTGCAGAGGCACACAATAAGGTTTTTAATGGTTAAAATAATAATTAAGGAACAATAATATATTTATATTCAAATACACATAAATTATGTTAATTTTCTCATTTCCGAGGACTTAATATAGCGCCATCTAAGTCAAGTCAAGCAAACCAATTAAAAGATGGCGTCAATAATTAATAATAGACAATAACAGTTGCTGGTTATAAAGTAGTCAATAAATGTATCCTACTAACATTAAGTTTCAACATTTATCCATTAAATAAATTATAGCTACCCCGGTCTTGTAATTGCTTAATCCTATAGTCAACAATATCTTTTCTTTTAAGAACTAGTGTAGCCGCCATTTTTATCGATCCTATTTCTCCTATCTCGCTGGCAAAGGAATAATCCGTATGTCTGATTGCTGACTAAACACTTGCACAAATATTTATGGAACATTACACATAGGACAATTGTCCTGCACGAACGTTATCACTCGCACATCTTCATGACGTCTTTCAGCACATCTATGTAGTTTTCACTGTTTGCATCACTGAAGATGACAATGCTCCAGTAATTTTCCTCATAACCATGCCCCATAAGTTGAAGCTGGTCTGAGTCAATATCACGTCTTCTGCCAGATCCACTACGGTGCTCCAATGAACCCTCTTCTTGAAACAGCTTTAGATATCCATAAAGTGGCAGTCTTTACCTGTAAGGGACGTGTATTATTTATTATTTTCATGTATCGATAACTATGGATAATAAAATAAATAACGAACGGTCATTTTAGAAGAATACTTACGTTTAAGCCAGTTTCTCTAGAAATTTCAGTATAATTTAAGCTTTGATTATGCAATGCTATCATTTGGGCCCTCGTAGCCAAATCAACATTTGAACGCAAATTCATAATAAAAATAAATATTAAAAACTTGTTAAACAAATCGTGACTGAACTCACTCAAAGATAGTAAAGAATGTTATGATTGAACCTCGATTGAACAAAAAGGTTTAATTTTTATAGTTAATACTAGCTGTGCCCGCGACTTCGTTCGCGTGGTTGTCGAAAACAAAACAACATCGTCTAGATAACAGTAGGCTATACACATATAAACTCCATTCAAGAAAGATTTTTTTGCTATTTAAGATCCTGACTGTAGTATATATTTATTTAGTAATATTGGTATAGCTGATTACGTTAATGCTTCCCTATATACTATATTAGCGTTGGAATTACCCGGAGCATATACAAAATGGTTGTTTGGGTTGCTAACACGTGATAGAGAAACATAGAGTCCGCCGTGTGAAAAACAATCAAAAGTAAGGTCATGGGGTAACAGACCCTTACAGGGAATTGCACATTTATTGCGTTGGAGACTTGTTACTCTCAGCCGTGTACCATTACAAACTTTTGGAGGACTTAAATTTCTGAGTAGAATGATTGGTGGAGCACCAACTTTTAAATAAATTTTGTGTGCTGGAACACCTGGTTTCATTAGAGAGTCTAAAAACTCTACTGGATAGTGGGTGGCATCTCCTTCTTCCAAAACCGTGTTAATAGATGAATATTCCCTACTTTCTACAGAAACATGTACCAATATTTGAGAATTGATTGCTGCTGCTTGGTCATTGCGCGGTGCCAAAGTAGCTCGTTGGCATAGCCAAGCAGCGTCATAGTTCGAGATCTCTGATGGATCTCCGTATACAGAAAAAATGAGTTCTTGCCGTGAGGCAACAGAAAAACACAGGCTCTCGACTAAAGTTACTTTACCACCTTTTTGAGTCGTGTATGTACCATTACCAATTTGAAGTAGTAAATTTGAGAAGACCTGCGCGTTTGTGTCACCCCCCAAATATGCTCACATATTAAAGCTCAAATTGGATGATATGATACTACGCCATAAATAAGAGCTCTTTAAACATGCACCTATTTCATCGGCCCTCGTTCCTCTGGGTATTATAGGGAGTGTCTGCCTAAAGTCTCCACAGAATAGCACCATTAAGCCCATCGGTCGGTCATTTTGTCTTATATCTCGCAACATTCTATCTACAGCTTCCATAACTTTATCACTATTGCGAGAGATGTTGCAAACAGGGTTTCAGGTGCGCTCCAAGTCGATTGGTATTTTAAATGTTTTATTTGCAGTTTTTCCTTCTGGTAATAAAGTGCCTGCAATTCCTGAGGAGGCCACCGCAAGGGCAATTTTGTTTTGGCTCCTTATTTGAGCCAAGATAACTTTGGTGAGGAAAGTTTTACTTGTTCCACCAGATGCATATAAAAACAATATTTCTCCTAAAGAATTTTCTACACTACAGCATACTCTATCAAATATTTGACGCTGTTCTGACGTCGTATTTGAACAGCCATTTAGTCCTATTTCTGCTAACTCCTTAGGGTTGTAATTTATTTGCTATGAACACTCCCTATTTATTGGTTCCCCACCAGCTGTCGGCGTTGGCAAGCCGTATTGACTGAGGAGGTTCCCTCCTGTACTTATAACTATATCTTGTATAGCTAGCAAAGACTTATTATAGCAGTTTTCTCGTACTTGGTCAGAAGTTTCTCTATTACTATTTTCCTGTCTAAAAAAATTTTCGGCAAACGCGTCTTTATATTTTTGCCACAACTGCCCAGCGTCCGATAGGCCACAAAATGTCAATAAAACAAACAAATGACGAAGACGATGTGGACTATCGCTGACGCATGCTTCGGCTAAAGCATCATCCCAATGCTGATCGCCATTTAATAAAGGCCATGCGCGGCAAGCAGCCTGAAATGAGGGATATTCTATATCGTCTACTTTGCGAAGATCAGTAAAAGTAGGCCCTCGCACCATGTGAAGAAGAAGGCGTAAATAATAACACTCTGCATTATTTGGGTGCACCGTGTATACTCTTCCAATCACGTGTTCTATAAAAATGCCGGGCTCACCTTCTACAGCAGTTCCACGTCACCTGCGTTTAAAAACACCTTGCTGCTTGTTGTAAGTATAATATTGTGGCACTTCATTGTACAACAGAGACTTGGCGAAATTGTCTCTTTCGCAAAGGCGAAAAAATGCTAGCAAGGTGGTTTGTCTCGGGTTATGTCATGTTAAATCGGATCTGCGCTATGGTCTGGAAATTCTGCACTTATGACACTGTCTATAGCGTCGGGACGATTTTTTTCTTCCAGCCACAAAATAATGTGCGCATGGGGTAAACCACGCTTTTGCCACTCGACGCTATACATATAACACAAAGCTGAACCGAAAACTTTCTCCTTTGTAAGTAGATTAATCAAAACTTTGAGTTTCAAATGTAAAATCCTCGCAATAATGTCATAATTAATCTGCTACAGAAAATGACGTATTTGCACAACGCCATCTATCGAATAAAGATATCAACTATCAACATTAGTTCTGTTTTTTGTCTTAAGGTGTCGTTGCAAGTACTATACGGAAATGAGTGTTGTTTTACTTCTTGAACTCACTAAATTAATCATATCTTCTGCTAGAGTGAACCGATTTCGATGAAACAAAAACTAAGTTATACCTCAAGTTGTGTAGAATTTTTGTATATAAGCATTGTCTGCATTGAATTCGTAGATTTTACGTGATGCGCGCACAAACAAACATATAAACAGACAAACAGACAAACAGACAAAAATGACAAAAATTACGAAAATGGGTTCGGTTAGTTATCCTTTAACACGCTGGCTATTTTTTTTGAAAATTTTTTCAATGTACAAAAATTACTTTTCTACAGATTTATTATATGTATAGATTAAATTACCCTCAACTGTTTTGAGATTTATGATTGGGTTATAGTTGCTAAACAACTTCAATATAATAAAGAGTAGGATAATTTCAATACATTTCAAGGTTACGCAATGGCCTAATGGCTAGTGGCATCGGTTAATTTTATGCTACCGAGTTCGAATCCTGGTTATTGCGTGCTTTGCTTTAAAAAGGTTTGGAATATCGTAGCATCAGTTTGTATAAAAATTTATCAAGTTAATAACTTTGTATCTGATAAAAACTATAAATGTATATTTTTCAATACCACTAGTATACTAGCGCCATCTATGTCATCCATGGTATATAATTAAGGCGATGAAACGCCGTACAAACGATTTTGATTTGGAATCATCCATGCACTTATGACACTGATAGTACATAATGCGTCTGTTAGTGACTGCGTCTGTCGTACGTTAGCGTCACCTCGTGCGCCAATGGCGTGCATTTGGGAATTGAAAGGCAATTACAATATTTGTGGCAATGTTTG